ACACTCATCATCACAAAGGATGTTACAAGATATATCCTGAAGAATAATGCTGTCAATGATAGGATAATATCCACGTGCTTACAAGGAAGGCCATTTAATAGTACTATTATTCAAATTTACGTACAAACCATCAAAGCCAAACATGAGGAAATTGAAGATTTCTACCAACTTCTGCAGTCTGCAGTTGAGCAAATATGCAATAAGTTGTACTGATAACCACTGGTGATTGGAATGCAAAAGTTGGAAACAAGGAAGAATCACGTGTACTTGGAGAATTTGGCCTCAGAGATCGAAATAATGCTGGAGATTGCATGCTAGCATTTTGTAAGACCAACAACATATTCATTGGCAATACCTTTTTTTCAACAACCAAACATTGGCTATACAAGTGGCTTTCACCAGATGGAGAATGCAGGAGTCATATTGACCACATCTGTGGCAAGAGGCAATGGAAAATTTCAATATCTTCAGCCCAAACAAGGAGAGGAGCTGATAGTGGAACAGACCATCAACTGCTCATATGGATGTTTAAGTTGAAGCTGGACACAATTAAAACAAATCCATGAGAGCCAAAATATAACCTTGATTTTATATCACTCCTGAATTAAGAGACTATCTAAAAAATGGCTTTGGTGCATTAAACACCAATAACTGAAAACCAGAGGAATTGTGAGATGCCATCAAGAATATCATCCATGAAGAAAGCAAAAGGTCATTTAAAAGACAGGAAAGGAAGAAAAGACCATAATGGACATCAGAAGACAGTCTGAAACTTGCTCTTGAATGAAAGTAGCTAAAGCGAATGGAAGAAATGACAAGGTAAAGGAGCTAAACAGAAGATTTCAAAGAGCAACTGAAGAAGACCAAGTCAACTGTAATGAAATGTGCCAAGACCTGGAGTGAGAAAACCAAAAGGAAAGAACATGCATGGCATTTCTCAAGGTGAAAGTGCTGAGGAAAAAATTTAAGCCACAAGTTGCAATATTGAAAGATTCTGTGGGCAAAATATTGAATGATGTAGGAAACATCAAAAGAAGATGGAAGGAATACAGAGTCACTGAACCAAAAAGACCTGGTCGATCTTCATCCATTTCAGGAGGTGGCATGAGATCAAGAACCAATGGTATTGAAGGAAGAAGTCAAGCCACATTGAAGGAATTGGTGAAAAACCAGGCTCCAGGAATTGATGGAGATGTTTTAACAAATGGATACCACCCGAGAGGCATCTGTCTATGCCAAGAGATTAGGAAGGCAGCTACCTGGCCAACTGACTGGAGGTCCATATTTGAACCCATTCCAAAGAAAGGTGATCCCACAAAATGTGGAAATTGTCGAACAATATCATTCATATCACATGGAAATAAAATCTTACTGAAGATAATTCAAAAAGAGTTGAAGAAGTGTATTGACAGAGAATTTCCAGAAATGCAAGCTAGATTCAGAAGAAGATGTGGAATGAGGGATATCATTGCTGATGTCACATGGCTCTTGGCTGAAAGCAAAGAATACCAGAAAGATGTTTACTTGTGTTTATTGACTATGCAAAAGCATTTGATTTCGTGTATCATAACAAATTATGGATAACATTGAGAAGAATGGGAATCTCAGAACACTTAACTGTACTCATGAGGAACTTGTACATAGACCGGAAGGCTATTGTTCCAACAGAACAAGGGGACACTGAATTGTTTAAAATCAGGAAGGGAGTGTGTCAGTGTTCTATCCTTTCACCATACTAATTCATTCTGTATGCTGAACAAATAAGGTGAGAAACTAGACTATCTGAAGAAAAATGTGGCATCTCAATTGGAGGAAGAATCATGAACAACCTGCGATAGGCAGGTGACACAATTTTGCTTGCTGAAAGTTAGGATGACTTGAAGCACATACTGATGAAGATTGAAGACTACAGTTTTCAGTATGGATTACACCTCAGTATAAAGAAAACAGAAATGCTCACAACAAG